CAGCTGGCTGAAACGGGCTTCCATAAAAAAGTGTACTTATGCAAATGAACATTTTCCCCTTTTACTGCTCAGGAATTAGTTGTAAGATATGACTTGTGAGCTTATTCAAGGACAAAAAGGCTGTAATGAAACACTTATTTAAAAGAAACTCTGCTTCCAGGAATAAATATCACATTTAAATGTCATAAATGAGGCTCTCAAATTAAAACAGGTCTCTGTGTGTGTTTGAGGGTAACTATCAATGCATTTCAAAGGATTTTAACAGACAATAGATATATTTTATGCTCGTGAAGTGTCTGACTGCTTGTAAATGAGTCTGAGCTCGCTGCGGTGAGTCAGCTGACGGCCTCACCACTTCACGAGGTTGTGCAAAACCCCAAAAGGAACGCAGAAGCTGCTTTAATGCTGCTGTCCGAGTCTTACGAGTCTCTGCAACATTCTTCCCGCATTTTTAAAAAGACACGTCGCCTCCCGACCAGAGAGCTTTCTCAGTGCAAACGGAGACATTTAAGATGGCTCTGTGCAGAAGCTGATGCTAATAAAGAAAGCACAGACCAATGGGATTTTATTTTCACTCCCATTTCACTTCCTCAAAAAGCGTTCTGACTGAAACCTAAAATGTATTAGCTGTTCATAAACCACAGGGTCATTCAAAAAGCTACTCTGTCAGTGAAACTGGAAGTCACATGTTTACAGATGTGACAATTTGCAGAAATATCCCTTTTTTTCTTTTTATTTATTTAAGCTAAGAAGCAAAACTTATTCATAGCCGCTCAAATATATATCATTAAATATCCATTTTATTCAAGTTCACTTTTTCGCACTCTGACAGAATACAATCCGATCTACAAAAACATCAATCAGGACATGACGCCGGACATTTTGGTCAAAAAAACATACAAAGATAGCAAAAAAGTCAGGCCCCGAGCGGCTGGCCTGCGCCTCGCCTCCTCAAACAGCTGCTTCTTTACCTGTTCAGGTAACCGTTCCTGTCACAAGCTGACGCAGCCGTTCAAAAACAACATCCAAAGCAAGGAAAATAAAATAACACACAAACACACACACACACACACACAAAAAACATCTTAAAACTGGTGGAAACAAATCGTTACAGGAGACAGTAAGTGATTTAGAAAGAGGAAGGAAAGCAAATCCAAAGTAAACGAAACGACAGATAAAAAAAGTGCTAGTTAATTTTATTTGCGAGGTTTGTAAGTCTGGTCGTTAACGACGGGAACCACAGCCCGGTCTCAGAGTTCACGTAGAGATGGAGCAGAGTGTGTRTTGGGGGGACCAGCATCGCCTCTGTGCCGTCCGGATGCTGCGTCCCGGACCGGGGATGGAGGTGGACGTGGCGCAGGTGGTGGTGGTCGGGGAGGAGGGGAGGGGCCGGCTGCGAGCTCGCGGTGAGAAAAGCACAGCAGCGTTTCCCCCTCAGGCAACATAGTGATACTGGTTTGGAGTCTCCTTGTCCCGCTCCATGTAGTCTCTGTCGATGAGCGACTCGATGCGCTTCTTCAGATCGCCCGGCTGCCAAGACAAGAGGAGGAATAATGAAGCCGGAGGTGCAATTCTAAAAAGTTAGGATGTTGAGTAATGTCTAGGAACGGAGAATAAACTTTTTAAATTAAATTTTAATTTAATTAACCTAAAAAACATGGTAATTTTCTGCGTAGATGGCTCCTTTCCAGATGTGTAAACCACCCAGGCCAGAGGCATTAATGCCACCCTATACCATCAGAGAGGCAGATTTTTGTACCGAGTGCTCAAAAAYGCCTGGATGGTCTCTGTCCTATTTAGAAAAGAAAATGTGGCAAAAAAAAACTTTTCTAAATTGTCTTYGTTTTAAATTAGCTTTGATCCAGAGAAGACGACAACATTTCTGGATTTTCACCTTKGAGCTCAGATATTTCTACAGATTCTTCTGATCTTTTGATGATATTATGATCTGTAAATAAAAGGAATATTTAAAGTCTTTACAAATTTCTGCTGAGCAACMTTTTGGAACGGTTCCACAGCGGTTCCTTTACTTCTAAACTAATCTTCTGATGCTCAGTTCTCTAACTGACTTGTTGCCAATTAACTTAATTAGTGGTAAAATGCTCCTCGGGCTGTTTTTTGTTCTTATTTCTATCCGATAAGTCGCTGCCATTTAATTCAAAATGACCATATTTGGTAAAATTATGTTTCAACATTTATGTTCACTATGCTTTATTTTGAATAARATACAGGTTTATAAGATTTGACATTTTACTAAACGTCACAACTTTTTTGTTTTATTTAGAGTTGCAGAATCAAAGTGAAAACGTAAAGAGGTTTCGGCGGTCACCTTGACGGGGAACTTCAGCTGGTTGTAGAGCTCCGACACCAGCAGGTTGTGACTCAGCGTCTTCCTCATTTTCATGATGCGAACGACGGCTGCGTCGATCTGATACTGCCGGTCCTGGAACACGCGCTCCGTAGTGCTCACCTGCTCCTCTACCTGTGGCAACAAAATCATTAAAAAAATAAAGTTCTTGGGAATAAAGCAGCTAAAGAGGAAATAGTGTTTATTTTTTTATTACCGTCTCCTTCATTTGAATCTGGTTGATCTTGATGCGGAACAGTTTGTGTTTAAAATCCATGTTGAAGTTGAAGCGATCTCCGTCCTCCACGTCTTTCCCTCGAGGGTTCTTGTTGAGGACTCGGGCTTTCCCACAAGCCAGAGACTGCAGTGTGCGCTTCAGCTCTCCCTCCTCTGTGGGGAACAGAGGAGAATGAAGCAGCAGAACCGGATCACATCATAATAATAACAACTAGACATGGGTTTTTACGATGTAAAAACAAGTGTGCATTGTCACGTAGCATGTCATAGCAGCATGGCTTTGCCTGCAGCATTGGACTTGCAGAATGAACTTTGACCAAGTTCAAATGTGTTTTCTATACCAGCTTGTGCCTGTCACATCAGCAGGTGTTTAGAATTAAGGTAATTGTGTGACAATATGAAGTTTGAAGAGATTTTTTCTTACAAGTTGCATTAGCTGGGTTTTGAACCCTGATCTCCCACATGAAAGTCCATGATATAGACCGTTAGACCAATGGAGTTGTGGGAGAAGGTGGTGGCAGGGGTTGGTTTGTATGTGTGCAGAAAGAGGCCATATTGCCAATACAATTATTGACACTAAACAGCATAATATTACAACAATAGAGCAGTATTAAGACACTATTATAGTAAAACATCAAAATACACTCATATTAGTATTGTAAACACTGAACTATTGAGATTAAATACTAAAAAACTGTGGTGCAGTACCAAGTTGAGTACAGCTGGGGGCAGTATTGGACCATTACAAGGCCCCATTGACTTCCGTTATATGAATTTGGAATAAAGTTTAAACATTAATATTTCAAAAACTACAAGTTGTACAGGCACCAAAAGGCATAGCAATCATTTGGCACAGGACCTTTACAGATAGAAATTACAATGGCAGCTGTAGGACAAAGTATGCAGGAGGAGTAGCGTGGCGACGTGAAAGATGACGGAATAATAAGCTGAAGAATAATAATAACAAAGAGAAACAGGAAAACAATACTGTGGATTGCATTGGCAATGCACACTGATAACAACAATAATAACAATAATAACAATAATAACAATAATAATAATAATAATAATAAAAGTGACCTATTCCAGTGGCGGTGCGGATCTCCTCCACGCTGAACTCTTCTCCCTCGTTGAACATGAGCAGCACCAGCGTCTGAAACAGGGAAACCTGCACCTCCTTCTTCCCCTGCAGGATTCAGCAGTTAAGTCTCGGCGCAGCTCAGATTTGTTTCAGTAAAAAAAAATAAAATAAAAAAAATAATAAATCTTTAAAAACTGTCCGGCGAGGATCCCGTACCTCTTTAAACTCTGCCTTCAGGACCGCGTGGCCCAGAGTGGGCTGCCACTGCAGCTTCCTCCCGCTGTGCTTACTGAGGTAGAACAGCTTGAACACCTCCTGGAGTTTCACCATCTAAAATTAAGAGCAAATTAAAGTGAATTATTYGTCTTTATTTATGAGTGAATTTGAGGAAAAGTGATAAAAAATAAAAGCTCGTCCAACCCAGGTGGGAACCGTTTACCTCTGAGGGCAAGTGGACCTCCATAGGTGTGTAAGACGGCCAGTAGCCCATAGTGAGGATGTTCACAGTGAGTTCTATGTTGCTCGGCTCACTCTGGTTCTGCATATACTGAGATCAACAAAATCCTTTTATCTTAATGCATATAAACGCCAGAGGTAAACACTTGTTTGTAGGTCTGTGTACCTGTTTGAACTGGATCATGATGTCTTTCGACAGCTCCATGTCTTTAAACATCCCCTCCAGCTTGCTGGTGAACGCTGCTCCGCACTCTGCAGGAAGTCAAAGACAAAGTCAATTCAGTATTTTTTCAGTCCTAAAAGTGTTACTGGAAAAATTAATGACTTTTCTAATACTTGTTGAAACAGAAWCTAAATTGTTAAAGCTAAAAGAAGCACAAGACTAAAAGCCCAAATTAGCAWGAWGCTAKCTAAAAYCTGCTAAAAGTTAGCTGAAYGCAGCATTATGAGGTACAWGTTGCTAAAAATCAGATAAAAGTAGCACAAGGCTGGCTAGAAGTAGCAAAATGMTAGATAAAAGCTGCTATAACTRGGGAAAAAAGCAAAATACAAACTAAAAGTAGCAAAAGGATAGTTTAAAGTAGCACAAGGGTAACTAAAAGTAGGAAACTGCTAGCTACAAGCTAGCATAATGTGAGCTACAAGTTGCTAAAAATCAAATAAAAGTAGCAAAAGGTAACAAAGTAGCACAAGTCTAGCTAGAAGTAGAAAAATGCTAGTTAAAAGCTGCTATAATCCAGCAAAAAGTAGCAAAATGAGAGCTAAAAGTAGCAAAAGGTAACTAAATAGCACAAGGGTAACTAAAAGTAGAAAATTGCTAGCTAAAAGCTAGCTGAATGCAGCATAATGTGAGCTACAAGTTGCTAAAAAATCAGGTAAAAAAGCAAAAGTTAACTTAAAGTAGCACAAGGCTAGCTAGAAGTGGCAAAAGACTAGATAAAAGCTACTGTAATTCAGCAAAAAGCGAGCTAAAAAATAAGAAATGGGTAGTTAAAAGTAGCACAAGGGTAACCAGAAGTAGCAAAATGCTAGATAAAAGCTGCTATATTTCATCATAAAGTAACAAAATGCAAGCTAAAAATAAGAAAGGCGTAGTTTGAAGTAGCAAATGGCTAAAAGTAGGAAAATGTATTTTATTTATTTATTTAACCTTTATTTATCCAGGTAAACTGTTTGAGAACCACTTCTCATTTACAAACATGACCTGATGCTAGCTAAAGGCTGCTAAAAGTTAGCTTAAAGTATAATAAGGCCAAMTAGAATCAAAAAGTAGAAGAATGCTAGCTAAAAGAAACTAAAAATGGCTAAAATCTAAAACAGCTATAGGCTAGTWAAAATGATAAAAACGCTAGCTAGGAGTAGGAAAAGCTTAGCTAGAGCCAAAAGTAGTAAAACATTTAAAAATATATTAAAAAAGTAGGGGGAAAATGCTGTTTAAAAGCAGCAAAATGGTAGCTAAAGCTAAGAAGAGCARTTAGTACCTATGCTAGGCAAAATGCTGAAAGTATCAAAGCTAAATGTAGCAAAACTACAGGTAAAATAGCAAAAGGCTATGTATAGATAGCAACAAACTAGCTAAAAAGACAAAAGTATCAGAAAAGTAGCTGAAGAATAAAAGTAGAACAATAAGAAAACCAGAGTGTGGTCGATAAAGCAGATTTAAGAGAGAACAAAGATTTCAGGTGAGGGACCTTGGACATGTCTTCAGTCCATCACAGGGACACACAGACAGACAACGTTCACATTTTCACTCACAACTAAAGAGAATTTAGAGTTTAAAGACAGTTTATCGTTTTAATATAAATCTGCAGACCCACCGTGTTTGAGCTTGGACAGCATGGACTTCTCAGCATCAACAGAGGCGCTCTTTCCAACCAGCAGACGTTTGGCTAAGTCCTTCTTATAAAAAGCTTCAAACACATCTTTTCCTGTTAGGAGGAAACAAAGCTCGAGAGGTTTAATCTCTCCAACAAACACATTAATACAATCCTCTATTATGAACGCAGAAGGGTAACTGACCGTGAATGAAGCGGAAAATGATCATTATCTTGTCCAGGATCCGCTCCAGTTCTTCTTCTGTCGCCTCTTTGTTTCCAGCTCTCAACTTGGAGTCGACGTATTTGGCTGCGTGTGAAAGATGTTATCAAGAGGTGGAAATGATAAAACAAAACTGAAAAGAAACACTCAACATTTCTCTTACAAAGTTAAGCGTCTACCGGCCWGACCTACCGATGAGTTCAGCCGGCTTGTTGGGCCTCTTGTTGATAAAAGTTTCGAAGGCCTCCTTCATGGCGTTGACGAAAGACTCGTTCCGGGCGAAGCAGCTCTGCACCACGTTGTCCATCTTGTCCTTGAAGTCCAGCAGGTCTTGAACCATGTCCTTGTCTTTCTCCGGTGTGCATACAATCTCCCCGCCGAACGACTGCAACCAGAAAACACAAMCTGCAGGCGCACTTCAATACCAGGGCATATCGCGATATATGACGATATATCGCAATATGGTGAGCAAGACGATATATTGCCTTTTTTTAATCGAAAAAATTTTAGTTTAAAAAATCCTCAGCATCCTTACYGTCTTATTCATTTTGAAATGACCTCTGCTGTGAGGGCAGCGGGTGTCGGTCTTATCTGCTCAGATTCAAACATCGGTACTTAGTACTAACATTTACTCACAATGCTAACGTGTGAGCTAGCATTATACTTTCAGGCTCCTCAGAAGTGGAGGAGCCAATTGGCTGGCTGACTGCTGCCAACTAGTGGCTGGAGGATAAAATACAACACAAAAAAGGAAACCACTGGCATTAAAGGTCACATTTTAAGCTTTCAAATCGATWTAGTATCAGGAAATGAAATATCGTGATATTTCWAYGTATTGATATTATCTTGCACCCATGGACAATACGTAGGKTCCTATAATTTCCGCGATGCGGAAAACGCGGAATYGACCAAACAAAATGGAATCCAGTGTAAAACGCGGAATCTCACGGAACTCGCTTATTTGGGGAGTTTCTGAGGTATTTTGGATGCTGCCGCTCACTGTACCTGCTGTTACCTGGTAACAGGCATGAGGGGTGAGCTCTGATCTCCCCTCCCGACACAGGAGAAAAAGAAAATTTAAACGGAAAAAACGGTATTTGTGAAAAAAAAAAAAACACATTTTATAGGGCCCTAAATACATTGGCCTTTTTGTGTCTGCAGAAATGTGAATACCTTGATATAATCCCTCCAGAACTGCAGCAATTTGTTGAGTCCTCCGTTCACTTTACTGAAGAGCTGGTAGAGGAGGGCCAGTTCAGTGACGCGGTTCTCATCCAGCAGATTGCTCAGACCTGCCCCAAACACACACACAGGAACGTGTAATTAAATTTCACAGACTAAAATTAAGAAAAAAAATAAAACAAATTAAATTAAATAAACAACTCCATTTTCCTGAATAGAAGGATAGAATATCTGTTTCACTGAATGTGTGGAGAGTTAAAGGGATCCATGATTAGTTGTAACAATAGACTTTATTTGATAAATATTTATTTTAACTGTATAATAAAGACTGTAAAAATACTGTAGGCTGTTTAGTTTTGTAAATTTTAAACAAAATTTAAAAAAATTTATTTTACACGATAGGTCCTCGGTGCAAGGCTGCTAGTGAGCTATATCCACCCTGAAGGTTAATCTTGGACAATATCTGATG